AAAAGATAGTTGCAAATGACATATCAGATAAAGGGCTAGTGTCCAATATCTATAAGGAACTCATCAAACTCCACACCGGAAAAACAAACAATCCAGTGAAGAAATGGGCAGAAGACATGAACAGACACTTCTCCAAAGAGGACATCCAGATGGCCAACAGACACATGAAACGATGCTCAGCGTCCCTCCTTATCAGGGAAATACAAATCAAAACCATTCTGAGATACCACCTCATGCCGGTCAGAGTGGCTAAAATGAGCAAATCAGAGAACTCTAGATGCTGGCAAGGATGTGGAGAAATGGGCACCCTCCTACACTGTTGGTGGGAATGTAAACTGGTACAGCCCCTCTGGAAAACAGTGTGGAGGTTCCTTAAAAAATGAACAGTAGAACTCCCCTATGACCCAGCAAGAGCACTGCTAGGAATTTACCCAAGGGATACAGGAGTGCTGATGCATAGGGGCACATGGACCCCAATGTTCATAGCAGCACTCTCAACCATAGCCAAAACATGGAAAGAGCCTAAATGTCCATCAACGGACGAATGGATCAAGAGGATGTGGTTTATCTATACAATGGAATACTACATGGCAATGAGAAAGAAGGAATTCTGGTCATGTGTATCAACATGGATGGACCTTGAGGGTGTTATGCTGAGTGAAATAAGTCAGGCAGAGAAGAACAGATACCATACGTTTGCATGTATAGGAGGATTAGGAGGAACTTAACTGAGGACCGTGAGGGAGAAGAAGGGGAAAAACAGTTGGGGAGAGGGAGGGAGGCAACCCATGAGAGACTCTTGAATGCTGAAAACAAACTGAGGGTTGATGGGGGTGGGAGAGATGGTAAGGGGATGATGGGCATGGGGGAGGGCACTTGTGGGGATGAGCACTGGGTGTTATATAGAAACCAACTTGACAATAAACTATTAAAAAAATCTTTTAGTCTTGCTAAATGTACTTTTTTTTTCCTTTTAAAGGATCAAATTCTTTCTTAGCTGTTGGTTCTAACACAGCTTTCTCACTAAAGTGCTACCAGTGACATTTTGCACAATCGGAGGCTGCTGGTTCCCAAAACCTGAAACTCATTGCCCAGGGGCTATGGGATTGAGGAGCAGAGAAGGGAAGGAAGGAGGTTGTTTTGCATTAAATTAATAAGAGCCCTGAGTGTTATATGTAAGTGATGAATCACTAAATTCTTTTCCCAAAATTATTATTACACTCTATGTTCACTAACTTGGATTTAAATTTTTAAAAATTAGCAAAAAGAACACCCCCCACCACCAAAATAATAAAATAAAATAAATTAGTGCGATTTGTAAAGCTGAGCTGCCTTCTAGGAATGGAAAGAATGAGTCATAGGCATGGCTTTCCAATAGTGTTAGGAGCAGTGTGCCCTTACATGCCCACAAAACTTCTCTTTCTGTTTTCAGCTGGGAGGGGCAGGGAGAAAATATTTCCTTTAGGCAAACTACCTAAAAACGACAAACCACATCTGTTCTTTCCAATGAGCTTGTCCAACGCCAAGCAAGACAATCTGACTCTCCAGTGGCCGAAGGCATCAAGCAGCTTTCAAAGGCTGGTTAGAAAGAGACCACTGATATATTCAGCCCATAGCAGCTTCGCTAGCTATGCACACGGCTCACTGTGTTCCAGGGACTTGTTCTTACCTTAGGGCAAGCTAGGGGCCTGGCTTAGGGGGCTGGGAGTGAGGCAGGGTTGATATCTTTCCATTTCAAGGGTTATTTGAGAACCTCTTTCTTTGGCAAGGACTCAATATCTAAAGGACAAAAAAACACAAAAACAAAAACGAAAGTCTAAAGTTACATTTTTTTCCAAGAGGAATTTAAACATTTAGATAAACAAAAATAAATCTGCCATCAGCACAAGATCCAAAGGAAGCTACTCTTAACATTATTAAATATTTTCTGCCTTTTGAAACCTCTAGTTTTAAAAATATGGCTGCATATTGTGCTGAAACAATTAATCAAATCATTCAACAATTTAAAAAACTTTTTAGTTTGAAATAGTTACAGATCAACAGGGAGTTGTAAAAAAAGAACCAAACAAAAACGAACAGGGGATTCTTGTGTACCCTTCACCTAGTTTTCCCGAATAGTGACATCTTGCATAATTATAGTGCAATGTCACGGTCAGGAAACAGACATTGGTACAAGCCACAGAGCTTGCTCAGATTTCATCAGTTTTATATGCACTCCGGTGTGTGTGTGTGTGTGTGTGTGTGTGTGTGTGTGTGTGTAGTTCTATGCCCTTGTATCACATGTGTAGATTTGTGTAAGCACCACAACCAAGATATAGAACTGCTCTACCACCACAAAGCTTCCCTTAAGCTACCCCTTTATAGCCACATGCACCCTAACCTAACGGCATATCCTTATGATTCTGTACACTTTCTATGTGCAAGGCCCTGCTCTGGGCACCAGGAATACATCACTGAACAAACACGAGTCCCTGTTGTATTGAGAAGGGACAGAAAAGAAATATTTTTTTAAAAAATAAACATATATGTTAGGTGATGAGTGCAAAAAGTGAGACCCAAAAGAGTAGATACAGAAGGTTCCACTTTAATGAACCGCAAGAATAGGAAGACTAATATCTATACTGATAAAGGTCAGAAATTGGCTGCCTTTGTGGGAGTATATTGGCTATAAAGGGGCACGAGGCACAAAGGGAGTTTCTGGAAATATTTTATATCTTGTTTGGGTGGAGAGTATATGGGTATATATGTCAAAACTCACAGCACGGAGCACTCACATCTATACATTTTATTGTATAAAAGTTAAGTCTCATTTTTAAAAAGTAATGTAGGGGCACCTGGGTGGCTCAGTCAGTTAAGTGTCTGACTTTGACTCAGGTCATGATTATTAAGTTAGAATGTTCAGGATAATTAGTTATAGGCAAATGATGAGTAATTTGGTCAATATTTATATTCTAGAATCTAGAGGCTACAACTTCCAAATGTGTCCTGTTTTTGACGATGAAAATCAAGATGATGTGGTTTTTGTAAGGTAGTACCTAAACATATGCATGTTTAAAGTGATGTTAGGATGACTTAACTCATGAATGGACTTGCATTTTGACCTTAATTCTCCTTATAGGATATTCTTTAGTACCATGTTTCTCAAGCTGTGGATTAAAGGATTTAGCAGAGCTGACAAGCTGCAGAATTTCATTTTCATTTAGAAAACATAGGCACCTGGCTTTGATATGTATAAAAATCAGCCCCATGGAAACAAGCATACCCAGCCAAGTTCAGATGAGACATGAATGTAAAGAAAGATGTCTTTGGTATTTGGTGGGTCTCATTGCCAGGACAATGGTGATAATTAAGAAATTCCTTCTTCCTTTATTTATTCATTCCTTCATCAACTACTGATCGTGCATTTACATGTCCTATGCATTTTCTAGGAGCTGGTGATAGATCAGGGAGCGAAGCAGACTAAAATCACCTTCCTCCTGGTGCTTACACCCTACTGAGAAGAGACATAATGAATATGATAATAAGAAAAGAACATATTGATTTTAAGGGGTGTTCTAAGATGATTAGTCTATAGGAAACAATAAAGTAGGAATATCAGTTGTGTGGAAGGAAGGAAGATCTTGGTTGTCTCAGAGAGAACACCGTATTTGGGCAGAACTTTGAAGGAGATGGGGATGAGCCATGTGGGTATTTGGAGAAGAGGGTCTTGGTCAAGACAGGCGGACATCTGAGGTAGAAAAGTGCCGAGCGTGGCCAGAGAATAGCAGGAACTGAGAGAAAGAGAGAGAGGAGGTCGAGCCATGAGGGAGGCAGTGGTGTGCACCAGCACCCAAGATAAGAACCAAGAACTCAAAGAATTTGCCAACAAGTTTCAAGTTTATGCACAATTAAACAATGTCACTTTCACCTCCTAGATTTCAAATTCATTCCCACTGTGTGGCTCTCCTCCGACCTGTTGTCAGTTCTCCCCAAGGACGGCCTCACCTCTGACCTGGTTGGCTCCAGATCTATTCCTGTATTGAACAACCCTTTCCCCACACTGCGGCCAGGCACCTATAATCATGGCCTTTTTGATCATGAGAGACTAAAGATTTCTATGGCCTATAAGTTTTGGTTTTACCCACCTATCCAGGCTCCTCTGGTAGCACACAGCTCTGTGATACCTCCCACAATCGGGGCTGTATAGAGATACTTCGCTTTCCCGGAAACTAAGTTCTTGTTCTCTTCCCCCGTCCCCAGCGCACCCTCCCCACATATATCATATTAACTGCTGCCTATATTTTCAGTATCAGCTCACAGGCCCATTTTTCAGGAAAAACTTCCCTGCTGCCCGTCGCGTGGATGTACAGTTTGCCTATTATGGTTATTTTGCTGATTGTAATTGTGCTAGATCATTAAGGTTTATAGATGTACTTCCAGGAGTTTCTGTTCTTAGAAGAACTGGGGAGCTAAAACTGAATCTGCCCTTTAAAAATAGTATTTGAGGGGCCCTTGGGTGGCTCGGCGGGTTAAGCGTCCGATTTTGGCTCAGGTCATGATCCCACAGGTCATAGACTCTAGACCCCCCTCGGGCTTTGCGCTGAGAGCTCAGAGCCTGGAGCCTGCTTGGATTCTCTGTCTCCCTTTCTCTTTCTCTGCCCCTCCCCCACTTGTGCTCTGTGTCTGTCTCTCAAAATTAAGAATTAAAAAAATTTTTAATGGTCTTTGAATGTAATGCTAAAATGTTTCGTTTTCACTGTCATAAAGAATTGGCAGAAGTTGTGGGTTACTAATCCCAATGGTTTTTGAGAAGTGTTCTTAGATGCCAATGAACTTTAAAATCAGGGATAGTCAGAAAAATCCATACGATAAAAGGAAGGGAGGTGCATCTCATTTCTTCAAAAGGGAAATAGAAAACCAGAAGCCTTTACAACTGGAAAGAAGTAGTTAGGGTACTTTCATGATTTGAGGAACGGCATGTCTCTACAAACCTAACAAACTTCCCTCTGGGTTTCACGTAGGGAAGAAGACCTGAGAGGATTGACGGAGAAGGAAACCCTAAAGATTTTCCCCGAGAATAAAGGTAGGAAAGCAAACCAAATACATCCTTTCAATTAGCTCTAAATGCTTAAGCGAGGAAAGCTGACCTTGGCAGGGACAGATGGCTGGCTTTGAGAGCTGTCCAGAGAGGCAATTGCTGACAGACAGTTTGAAGTGCTTTTCCTGATTCTCTGTGGTGAGTCATGCTTTTATAGGGCAAAGCTATCATCTTGGTGCAAAACAGGTGACCGTCGGAGAGCGAGTTGAGGTTAGTGCCTTGAAATTTCCAGAGTTAATCTTTGCGACCATTCTTTGGGGGGTCTCCTCCCTGTGGTAGTCGGAGCCAGGCTTTTAAAAGAAAAAGCAGATGAGCAAACAAAAATGAAAGCCCATTCTTCCCCCCTTCGTCTGTTAGGAGAGTGAAACAGAAAAGTGGAAAGAAGAAAAGACCCCACTCATTGTACTATTCCTATTATTTACCAAGTTTCCATATATGATCATCCAGTGATGATAGTTGTAAGCAGTAGAGGAAAAGTTGGGGTAATGTAAGCAGGAAACACAGTTATTAAAGGGTACTAAATAGCTCACAAAAATCTCTGAAATCAGGTGTAGAGTTGACCAGCATCATGAAAAATGGTCAAAAATCATTCTGCAGAACTGGTCCCTTGCAGATACCCTACAATCTTTCCTGGGCCTGGACAGATATCCCTAGTGCCCTGTTAATCACTGCTGATTCTAGAAGCCGGATTTGCTCTGCTTCAAGGGCCGGCCTCAGTACATTTATTTCTTTTCTTTTTTTATTTTTAATTTTAAAAATGTTTGATTTATTTCGGAGAGAGAGACGGTGTGAGCAGGGGAGGGTCAGAGAGAGAGGGAGATACAGAATCTGAAACAGGCTCCAGGCTCTGAGCTAGCTGTCAGCACAGAGCCCAGTGCGGTGCTGGAACCCACAAACTGTGAGATCATGACCTGAGCCAAAGTCGGACGCTTAACCGACTGAGCCACTCAGGAGCCCCTCAGTACATTTATTTCTGGGCATTTCCTCCCTTTTTGTATCACAAGTCCTTGTCCCAAATCTGCCACAAAAGCACCTGAGTGAGAAAGCCTGGGTCACACCTTCTGTTCTTGCTGCAAGGGATGCTGGGAATATTTTAGCCTCCTGGGGACGGATACCTCAAATACAGAAGGAAGGTTTGGACACTGGCTGAAAAAAAAAAACCATGACAGATCATTGCTTACATTTCGACAGCCCCACGTCAACGTGTTTCCTTCTACCCATGTTGACTCCATCCTTCCTCTAGAATGTCAAAGTCCTGTGTGGATAGTCTGCTACCTGTGCAAAAAATGGGACACCATAAACACGGCCTGTAAACAACGGTAAGGGAAAGGACGTGGAAGAAGAAAATTAGTCAAAGATACAAATGCGCGGCAACAGCAAGGAGGGAATGCGTGAAGATGCTGTGCCCCATTTGTGTGACTGGTGTCTGGTCCCAGAGTGACTTTGTCCACCTGCATCCCATGATCCCTCTCCTCCCCCAGCTCCACAGCTTGTTTCCTTTCTTCACCCAGAGGGTCATCCAAATCTTCCTTCTGAGAAAGCGGGAATGTTGAGAGTGAGCCTCTGTTAAATTTCCGGTTTCCCCTTCTTCGCTGCATAGGCCGTATTTTTTCAGGGTGGCATTTTCTCAGCCAGTGCCAATCCACTACATGCTAGTGAGCCGCCTGGAGACTGCAGCCGTTCCTAGTTAATAGATGCTTACGAAGGACATTCCGGACCCACAGGAGAAAGGAAAGAGCTGTTGATGCAGAGCAATGGAAGAGGAAATGCTACACTAAAGCCATTAAGAGGAAGCTCGTTTTAAAAGTTGGGCACTGAAAAATGTTTGAGAATAAAAATCTGATTCAGTATTGAATAACCACAGAGACATCCTTAAAATCTGTCTGTAAAACAAGCCCTTTGGGAACAGTTGGGTATCCAAGGTTGCCTTGTTTCTCTTATGGACCCCAACATTTAATCGCTATGGGCCTTTAGGATAATTGGTCACCATGGATAGTGGTGCTTAAATTAATGTGCAAAATCTTACAACATCCATGAACACACAGATCTTTTAATCAAAAAAGCCTTGATTTATCTATTTTCTCCATGCGTATAAAGGCAAATAAAGGATTTTGGTAGATTCTTAATCTTGAAATGAGGCATTTAAATCACTTTAATGATTTAAATGACTTGTGACTTGACAGGTCTAACCATGAGAAATGCTCCTCTCAGACTTACCTTTTGGAACCTGGATGTGACTGTTCTGTCTCTGGAAGAAAGAGCACCAGATGCTGGTCATAGGTTAGAGCAGTTTCCCAACTATGATGCTATTGATGTTTTAGGCCATATAATACTTTGTCATAAGGGACTGTCCTGTCCAATGTAGGGTTTTTGGTAGCATCCTTGGCCTCAACCCGCTAGACAACTAAATGTCCCCTGGCAGACAAAATTGCCCCTCCATTAAGAGCCTCTGGATTACAGCATATACAACAGACCAACACACAAGATATTGTTTCTCAGTGGGAGACATCCAGACTCTTAAACAGATTATTCTGAGTAATGTCTTACGTGATGAGACTTGTGAGTCCTCAAGTATTAGAGCGTTTCCTTATTTCTTTTTATCAACAATACAAGTAAAATTGTGAGATTGAGTTCTTACAAGGAAAGGCAGGAAGCATTTGTCACATGTTAACTAATTTATTGCTCAATGTTACTCATGGGGGAAAGCACTTTTATTAGCCCTATTTCATAGAAGAGGCACTGGAAACAGAGGTTAAGGAACATTGTTAAATCCACAGTGCCAGTGGGGATAAAGCCAAGATTTTGAAAATTGATTTTTTTAATTTTAATTTAAATTTTTAATTGAACTCACAACCCAGAGATCAAGACCTGAGCTGAGATGGAGAGTTGGCCACTTACCTGACTGAGCCACCCAGATGCTCAGAAAATTGATTTTTAAAGCATATTACATAAATAAAGAAATTTAAAAAAAATTTTTAAACTATGTAGGCTGGGGATGGCTGGCTGGCTTTGGTGGTGAAGCATGTGACTCTTGTTCTCGGGGTTGTGAGTTCGAGCCCTGTGTTGGGTGTAGAGACTACTTAAAATCTTAAAAGATACAAACAAACAAACAAAAACTATGTATAAGTATGTTCTTTCTATCCCGGCTTTCTTGAAGGTTTTTATTAAGAAAGGATGCTGTATTTTGTCAAATGCTTTTTCTGCATCTGTTGATAGGATCATATGGTTCCTGTCTTTCTTTTACTAATTTGATGTATCACATTGATTGATTTGCGAATATTGAACCAGCCCTGCAGACAGGAATGAATCCCACTTGATCATGGTGAATAATTCTTCTTATTTGCTATTGAATTCAGTTTGCTAGTATCTTGTTGAGAATTTTTGCATCCATGTTCATCAGTGATACTTGGCCTGTAGTTCTCTTTTTTTACTGGGTCTCTGGTTTTAGAATCAAAGTAATGCTGGCTTCATAGAATGAGTCCAGAAGTTTTTCTTCCATTTCTAACTTTTGGAACAGTTTGAGAAGGATAGGTATTAACTCTGCTTTAAATGTCTGGTAGAATTCCCCAGGGAAGCCATCTGGTCCAGGACTCCTATTTGTTGGGAGATTTTTGATAACGAATTCAATGTCTTCACTAGTTATGGGTCTTTCAAATTTTCAATTTGTTTCTGTTTGAGTGTTGGTAGTGTGTGTGTGTTTAAGAATTTGTCCACTTCTTCCAGGTTGTCCAGTTTGTTGGCATATAATTTTTCATAGTATTCCCTGATAGTTGCTTGTATTTATGAGGCACTGGTTATAATAACTTCATTTTCATTTATGATTTTGCCTATTTGGGTGCTCTCTCTTTTCTTTTGACAAGCCTGGCTAGAGGTTTATCAATTTTGTTTATTTTTTCAAAAAACCAACTCTCGATGGGGCTCCTGGGTGGCTTAGTCGGTTAAGCGTCTGACTTTCGCTTAGGTCATGATCTCGCGGTTCGTGGGTTCGAGCCCCGCGTCGGGCTCTGTGCTGACTGCCAGCTCAGAGCCTGGAGCCTGTTTCAGTCTGTGACTCCCTCTCTCTCTGACCCTCCCCTGCTCACGCTGTCTCTCTCCTAGAAATAAATAAAACATTAAAAAAAAAACCCCAACTCTCGGTTTCTTTGATCTGTTCAACTGTTTTTTTTTATTCTATATTGTTTATTTCTGTTCTGATATTTATTTATTTATTTATTTATTTATTTTTCTCTTCTTCTGCTGGGTTTGGGTTATCTCTGCTGTTCTGCTTCTAGTTCCTTTAGGTGTGCTGTTGGATTTTGTATTTGGTAATTTTTTTTTTTTTTTTTTTTTCTAGGAGAGAGAGAGAGACAGCGTGAGTAGGGGAGGGTCAGAGAGAGAGGGAGACACAGACTCCGAAATAGGCTCCAGGCTCTGAGCTGGCAGTCAGCACAGAGCCCGACGCGGGGCTCGAACCCACTACCGCGAGATCATGACCTAAGCGAAAGTCGGACGCTTAACCGACTAAGCCACTCAGGCGCCCCGGTAATTTTTTTTGTTTCTTGAGATAGGCTTGTATTGCGATTTATTTTCCTCTTAGGACTGCCTTTGCTGCATCCCAAAGGGTTTGGATTGTTGTGTTTTCATTTTCATTTGTTTCTATGTATTTTTAAATTTCTTCTCTAATTGCCTGGTTGACCCATTCATTCTTTAGTAGGATGTTCTATAACCTCCATGCTTTTGGAGGTTTTCCAGACTTTTTCCTGTGGTTGATTTCAAGTTTCATAGCATTGTGATCTGAAAGTATGCATGGTATGATCTCAATTCTTTTATATTTATTGATGGCTGTTTTGTGACCCAGTATGTGATCTATCTTGGAGAAAGTTTCATGTGCACTTGAGAAGAAAGTATAGTCTTCTGCCTTAGGATGTGGAGTTCTAAATATATCTGTCAAGTCCATCTGGTCCAGTGTATCATTCAGGGCCATTGCTTCTTTACTGATTTTCTGT